CATCGCCCTGTTTTCTATTCTGAATACTGTAGCAACATAATTTCCTGCAATCTGTTCCGCTATCCCAAAGAATTAACTGGTACCATTAAGTGAAATGATGATCATCATTTAACTAACAATGATCCCCAAGTATTAATATAAGAAAAAAAAATCAATGCACTGTTTGTAACATAGCAAAGCCCAGTGAATGAAAGCTAAGGCTGATGCCTTAAGAGAGGGGACTCAGGTTCAGTAGCAACGCTGTGCCCTGCAACACACCGGACTTGCTTACGATTTACCTTGCGTGCCACCCCTTTTCTTTGCACTTTCAGACCCAAAGAGGAAAGGATGGCGTCCTGGAGACCAGCATCGGCCCCGCTTTGCATTGAGAATTATCTGAGTGTTGCTTCATTGCTTCTCATGAGTTGACTCAGGATGTTTTGGTTCCATTTCAGTAACTGGGAGACAAATGTTTCTCCTGCCTAGTGGGGATGGGTATGGACCTACGGCCTCCAGCTTGCTGCTTTCATGATTTTTGGAAAGAGACTTCTCCAGCATCAATTGGACACATAGCTAAGGCAGAATGTAGCTTATTTAGTTTTGGCTTAGCATTTATGCAATCACTGCAGTTTGCAAACAAATTTATTCCTCAATGCAATGTGTGAATCCACCCAAGTGGGAATCCAGCCAATGTATTCAAGAAGTCATGATTAAAACAAATTCTGTCTTAGCATAAACTCCAAAGCAGTCTTCATACAGATGTGATTTCCCTTTTTCTGTGTAACTTTTGCAATATAAACATTTAAGGTTAAAGCACTGCATCTCTCCCTAATGCACTTAGTAATCATACTATTCTTTCTTTCCTGCAGGAGGGAATGAGAGAGAATATGATAGGAGCTTCAAATGAATCACTGGTGACCGAGTTCATTTTAACTGGACTATCGGAATATCCCAGAGCTCAGATTATTCTGTTTTGCTTCCTCTCAGTGGTGTATCTCGTTAGCTTTCTTGGCAATGGACTCATCATCATACTGAGCATTGCGGACCCACAGCTTCATACCCCCATGTATTTCTTCATTTGTGTCCTTTCCACCATAGACTTCATTCTTACCAACAATGTACTTCCTGAGATCTTGGTCAACTGCTTCATCTACAGGCCCACAATTTCTTTCACCAGATGTTTGTCCCAAATGTACCTTGGTGAATTTCTGGCTGTAGCAGAGTGCCTTTTCTTGGCTATCATGGCATATGATCGCTTGGCAGCTATATGCCAGCCTTTATACTATACACAGATAATGAGTTGGAGATTATGCATTTATCTGGTAGCCACATCAGTGGCCCTTGCCTTGATGATGACCCTGATCAATCTGCTGTTGCAACCGACGGACTTCTGTGGCCATCACATCATCAACCATTTTGCATGTGAGCTGCAATCTGTACTCAAACTGGCTTGCTCCAACACAGTCAGTGAGCTCTACATTCATGTTGGCAGCCTCTTTGTGCTAATCCTTCCCTTTGGCTTCATAGTTGTGACATATGGTCGCATAGGCCTGGCTATACTGCGAATAAGCTCTACTCTTGGGCGCAGAAAAGCCTTCTCCACCTGTAGTTCTCACCTTGCTGTGGTCAGTGTCTTTTATGGAACACTCATGATGATGTACATGAGTCCTGGAGGGCAATCTGTTTCTGAAAAGGACAAGGTCATCTCCTTAACATATGGGGCGCTGACCCCCATGCTCAATCCTCTGATCTACAGTCTGAGGAACAAGGATGTCAAGGGGGCTTTTTGGAAAATGTTTCAAAGAAAAATGTCAATGTAATATACAGACGTGCTCACCATGTACCATGTAGGTTCTTATTGCTGACCATCACTGGTAACCATTTTAAAAAGCATTACATAGCAAGCATTCCTATTCCTATTAAACCCAAGAGGGACTATGCAGTACTGAATCTTAAGGAGGAATGTGGTAGGGACTTCAAGAACCAGAACTCCCAACACCTTTGAAGGACATCAGGTTGGGGAATGCCATTATAAAATACCATATATACCTGCCAGGGACCTGAGAATTTTAGTTGCCAAAATATACCCCCCAAATCAGGTTCCACTTATCCATGGATGGTCTTATTCACAAGTATATATGGTAATCCTTTTTAAAATACTCTTATATCCCATGAAAAAATGGATAATCCATGGATTACCCACAGATAAGCCAAATGTGAAAATTAAAGCATATGAAAATTTCAAGGGTTGTCTTATCTACATTTTTCATGGTATTTTGATTAAAAATTCAAAGGTTACCTTGTCTGAGGAAGGGATTATGCACAAGTATGTACGGGAACAGAATTTAAATTGGAATTGTTTTCTACCCCACCCCCGACTCCTAGGAGCATGGAATGAGCAGAAGGGACACCAGCCATGGCCAACGCATGGAGGCTCTTAAGCTGGGCCTGGCTGGTCTCAGGAGGCACCACCTTTCTTTGGCATAGCCGCCCTTTGGCTCTGGGGACGGGGATGGGGCGGGCTGTCCTTGGTGGGCAGTGGGCCCGAGTGTGGGGCTTCAATCCAGAGGCAGCTCCTTGCCAGGGAAGCAGCAAGCCCA